CCCACTCCCAACGCTGATTCTTTTTCGACAATCTCGTTAACGGTTCACCAGTGGTGGCGAACTGCGGAATGGATCGACGATACCATGAAGACATTCCCAAGAACCGGCGCAATTGCTTAATATTACGCAGCACTATATACTCTAAAATTGGTCGTGCTTTCTCGGAATCGACGTTCAGGCCGTTCCTTTGCACAACGAATTCCAGATATCTCACTTAAGAACGACAAAACTCGCTTTTATCGAGATTAATGTTAAGACTCGCTTCAAAAATCTTAGCCAAAACTTGTTCGAGCCACTCTAGGTGCTCTTCAAAGGTCGGTGTAGCAATTACGATATCGTCTAGGTATGCAAACGTATAAGTCTCCATTTCTGGGCCAATCAGTCTACCCAATAAACGTTGAAAGGTAGCCGGGGCTACAGTGAGCCCGTACGGCATCCGTGTAAAATGATATAAGCCTTTACAGGGAACATTGAATGCTGTTATATCATAACTTTCCTTCGCCAGTGGTATTTGAAAGTACGCCTGGCTCAAGTCGATCGTCGAGATGTATCGCGCAGATCTTAATTTATCTAGTATTCCACTCACATTCGGTAATGGATACGCGTCTTTTTTAGATATATTGTTAACTTTACGAAAGTCTAAGCAAAAACGATATTTTCCATTCGGCTTCTTAACCATCACTATCGGGTTCGACCATTCACTAAACAACGCTTCAATTATACCCGCTTCTAACATCTTATCAACTTCCACGCGAATAGCGTCTTGCACCTTCGGAGAAACTAAATAACATCGTTGCTTTATCGGCTGGTGCGAACCAACGTCAATTCGATGCTCGGTAAGAGAGGTGACACCGGAATCGGCAATAGTATTCGGTTAACTATATATACTCGCCAAAAATTCTTTTAAACTCAATTCCTGTGCGAGGGTTAACTCCGAAAGCCCACAGCAAGCACTTTCAAAGCGATCATCCAACTTCTCAAAAGCGTAGCGCTCCTCGGGGCAAGCCGAGAAACACCAACTCGAATCGGCAAAATCGAGCTTCACACCGAATGAATACAAAAAATTCATGTCAATAATGCATGAAACGACCAAAGTTGGTAATAAACAAACATTAATTTCCCGTTGCATACCCTCGAGCATTAAGAGCATCCGCATCTCCTCCTTTATCTCCGCTATCTGCCCGTTCGCGGTACGTATACGGACATTCTCAGCGCGCTTCGTCTGCTACCCTAAGCGTCTTACTATAGCATATACCCCCGTCTTCAATAATGGTTCGACTAGATCCCGTGTCGACTAAAGCCATCAGCGGATATTCGGCAACAAAAATACGAAAGTATTTCAAGGGCGGTAATTCGGACAGACGAAGAGCTCTTTCTGAATACTCCAATACCTCCACCTGAGGAACACGGGTCTCAACCGATTTGGCGGGAGTCGCGAGGACCCGCTCTAGCGACTCGCCTTTACGTTTCCCGAACAACTCGGACACATTCCCGCACCCTGTGACCCGTCTTCTCGCAATTCCAACATCTTATCGTGCTCACGGAAGTCACGGTTGCGGCATCGGCAGCAGTGGCTAGAGACGAAGCAGAAGGCCCCGCCTCAGCAACCCCAAACCGATCGCCTTTCCTATTATTCACGATCTTAGACGGGGAAAATTCAGCCGCCACTACTCCAGAAGTACGCGACTCTTTTTAGGCGGTCGGTATGCCAAATCGGGAAACAGAGATCATTCAGGGGCCGGTGGAGCGCGGTACCGCCGCTAGCGCATCACGGCGTCGTGGCTCACTTCAACACGCAAAGTCATTCGTTCCAAGGAGGCAAAATTATAAAATTCATTGCGCCGAATAACAAGTTGTAATCGCGGCAACATATTGCGATGAGCGTAATTTAATTGCTCAGGCAAACCCCACGGAGGGCAGTCTGTCAAATAAAGCTTGCATACATGTCAGATAATCGGTGACGGATTCTAACTCTCCCTGCGTGGGTCTTAAAATTTCATCTCGAAGAGCGAACTGAAAGTCAGGGTCACCAAAACGAGAACGCCACGCGTCCGCGAACTCACCCCACGTCATCCACTCGGCACGTCGATTGTGAAACCAATAGAGAGCGGTGCCAGACAAGAAAAATGGTAAACATCTAAATAAATCATCATCCGTAACGGGAAAGAAGGCACGACTCTCTTCAATGCGCGTTAAAAATGCCTCTGTATCTCTTCCGCGCGAAAACGTTATGTTCCATTTGCAAAGAATATTATAGATCTCTTGAATAGAACTCGTGCGGCTCGACATTAAATTCTCTCTATCGGGCGACGTACATAGGGGCACCGCCTCGTGCCTCATTCGCATGATGAGCGATATTCTCCGTTATAAGAGGGGATAGATTTTACGGGCGCGCCTGTTCCGGCGTCGAAGGACGCAGATGCCCTTCAACAGGATCATTCACACTCGAAGAATGCAAAAGCGCGTGATCCGCGGAGGTACCCAGCTCATGTCGCAGTAATTGAACATGTAAAGCAGAGATACTTCCCTCGCTATCCAATCCTAGTTGTTCTAGCTCATCTTTTAGTTGACCCGCGGTTAAATAAACGCATTATTTCTGCTATACATGTATGATATGAAGTACTATTCTACACCTTTCCCTGTTCAGAAACGTTGAACTTTCCACGCGAAGTAACTTTTACCCCACCCCCCTGCACAGGGGCACACGACTTCTACGATTGTACTGTTGCTATATAGTACTGTCGGGGCAGACCTCTCTCGACGGTGTGGGTGCGGGGGGGGGTGGCCGAAGGCCACCCCCTTCCACCCGCCCGTGTGTGTGTGTGTGTGTTCCATTTGTTATATAACGATTATGAGTTTATTACTTGATATTTTACACACACACACGGGCGGGTGCAAGGGAGCGGCCTTCGGCCACCCCCCCGCACCCACACCGTCTCAGAGGTCTGCCCCGACAGTACTATCATAGCAACAGTACAATCGTAGAAGTCGTGTGCCCCTGTGCAGGGCGGTGGGAGTAAAAGTTACTTCGCGTGGAAAGTTCAACGTTTCTGAATAGGGAAAGGTGTAGAATAGTACTTCATATCATACATGTATAGCAGAAATAATGCGATTATTTTAAAACTATGATTGTTAATAACTTTTTAACGAAGGACGAGCGACGGGAATGGTCAATGACCTTGACCTTCTTGAGGGTCAAGGTCAAGGTCAAGGTCACTCGGAAGTCATTTGAAGCTGACTGTGTAATTCGAAATATTTACCAATAATTTTTCGCAGCAGCGGTATTATACGAAACTCGAGAGTCGCAACGGAAGCGAAAATAAACTCCAACACGTGTGCTCGCTGTAAACTTTCCCCCTATGGCAAGGTCGTTACTCGAAAATCAGACGCTAATACAAAGAAATCTCATTCTCATCGGTAACTCCTATAGCCTTGACTCAAGTTGCGAAATAATATCGTATAATGTAATCAAATACTAGCGGTAGAGACACAGAAAGATTCCAACAACACGAAAATCGCGGCGACAAGCGCGACCGAAATAATGTGGAACGACAACAGCAAGAAGAAAAAGTGTACTCAACGCGGAACAATAACACGCGAGACGACTCGCATAATGTCATGAATATTCTCGAAAAGTATTTTCATACGTACCATACACCGAGATTTCAGGACCTTTCTATCAACTTGACTTACAATTTGTAATCCTCAATCACAATTCTCAATAACCAATTTCATCCAAAATCACAAAATGAATAATATACTCTGCTGCAAGAAAGAAATTAGCATGTAAGAAATGTGAGAAAAGATACACAAGGAAATATACAGGAAAATATAGAAATATACAAGAAAATATAAGAAAATACGAGTGACCTGAAATTTCGGTGTATAGGGTATGTATAAGAATTATTTACGAGAACCTTCGAGACATTGTGCGAGCCGTTCCGCGCTGAGTAAAATTTTTTTTTCTCTTCTGTTGTCGTTTGCGTTATTTCGGTCGCGCTTGTTGCCTTGATTCTTGTGTTATTGGAATCTTTCTGTGTCTCGACCGTTATTGAGTGTATTATTCGAGTATTATATATGATATTCTTTCGCGACTTAACTCAAGGATATAAGAGCTGCTGATGAGAGCAAGATTTCTTTTGTACTCGCGTCTAAGTTTTGAATAGCAACCTTGCCATAGGGGGAAGGTTCACAGTAAAGCACACGTGTTAGAGTTTATTTTCGCTTCCGTTGCGACTCTCTCGAGTTTCGTATAATATTGCTGCTGAGAAAAATTATTATTTCGAAAATGACGGATAGGTGCGCGCGACTTGAATGGATTGTCACGAGTGCTAAATTGACAAGTGACAATTGCGCCATAACCAAGAAATAATATAAATTAATAATATAAACGAATCGCGAACGCAACTCGATTGCGCGATCACGCCCTCGACCGATTACCGGAACGCGCGGCGAAATAAGTTTATTATAATATTAAAACCGCGAGCGCGACGCGATTACGCGATCACGCCCTCGACCGATTATCGGAACGCTGACGAGAAGCGCCGAACAAGAAGGTCGCAGACCTCAATAATTCAAATAAATATGAGAAGACCGAAACAGAGTGGAGTCAGTAATTTTATCAAAGTGTAGCGCGTCACTCTGCTCGAATACGATCTTAAGGTTATATCGCGACACACGTAGTGTAAGTGATCTATGTGAAATAAATAACGACTCCTTTTATCTCCTTATGTGGAGCAAGGACGTCTATAGACCTCTTTTGTCCATCACCGGTTGCTCCGGCCGACCGACAGTCAGTATATCTCTGACGGCTGGATAGGATTCTGTGGGCCAATCACCCGCAAACCCGAAACAAGCTGATTCGAGAAACGAATACGAGCCTCAGATATCGGACGGATACAACGGAAATTAACCTTAGCTATCAAAAAGGTATACGAATTGGCACATGGAACATCCGGACATTGGTACAGGCATCCCGGTTGGCACAACTAAGCAGAGAGATGACACGCTGTAAACTTAAGATCCTAGGTCTCAGCGAAGTGCGGTGGAAAAACAGCGGTGACATTACTACATCAGATAATCACTATATGATATACTCGGGCAATTCAACCACCCACATTAATGGAGTTGGAATTGTTATAACCACTAAAATTAAAAAATCATTAATGGAGTGGAATCCAGTCTCCGATCGATTAATAACCGCTCGTTTCCGAGCCAAAAATCGCAATATAACAATCATTCAATGCTATGCACCAACGGAAGTAGCGGACGACAGTGAAAAAGATTATTTCTACAACCAACTGCAGTCCACAATCGCCTCAGCGCACAAAAGAGACATCAAACTTATCATGGGTGACTTCAACGGGAAAATCGGCAATAATAATAACAACCTCGATGAAATAATGGGCCGCCATGGACTTGGAAAAGCATGCAATAATAACGGCGAGCGATTAATTGATCTCTGCATAGCCAACCAACTCTTCATCGGCAGCACGCGATTCCCGCACAAGGACATTCATAAATATATCTGGCAAGCACCAGACAGAGTAACACGTAACCAGATCGATCACGTGCTAATTGACAAGAAACACCTGAAGTCTCTTCTAGATGTTCGAACAATGCGTAGTGCAGACATGTATAGCGACCATAAGCTAGTCGTGGCAAAAATACGCATAAGAACAAAGAATATAATAACAACAAGAACAAAACAAAAGAAATTTAACATCGAAAAATTCAAGAATAAAGGCGAACGTCGGAACTTCTGTGAAACTGTAACAGCCAAAGTTAATAATATCAGTCCTACAATAAGTGCGAAGGAAAAATGGGAATTAGTGCAAAAAGCATACGTAGAATCCGCAAATGAAGTCATCGGGACCAAAAACAGTACCCGTGAAATGTGGATCACGAATGAAACCTGGGAATTAATCGAACAAAGAAGAACATTAAATCAACACCTAAACCAGGTTCGCAGTGATTTAACCCTTGCAAGATATAACAATATAGAAAAGCAAATTAAGAAAATGGCAAGAAGAGATCGTCGTAAATTCGAAGAAAACATCATCACTGACGCTGAAGTGGCGGCGGAACAGAAGGACGTGCGCAAAACATATCAATGTGTCAGGAGGATCACCGGCCATTTTACAAGCATTCCACAAATTAAGAACAGCGATGGCCATATTCTCACTACGGAACAACAACAACTTAATCGATGGGATTCTTTAAACACGACGATCCAAAAATAGATAACTGCGACATAGACTATACAACATCATCTCGTATTAGCACAAAGTCACCATCAGTTGCTGAAATCAGATTAGCAATAAAGAAACTTAAGAACAACAAAGCCGCAGGTAGTGACGGCATCGCACCGGAATTATTTAAAACTGATCCATCATTTGCGGCAGAAACGCTTGCCCCCATTATAACAGAAGTATGGGACACAGGCAACATTCCGGCGAAATGGAAACAAGGAATGATCATCATAATACCAAAGAAAGGTGATCTCCGTGAATGTAAGAACTAGCGAGGAATAACCCTATTGAACACATTTACGAAGATTCTAGTGTCAATCATCCACGAGAGAATGGCAGCGCACGTCAACGAGAAAAGAACAAGCAGGATTCCGCCCGGGACATAGCTGCATAGATCATATAAGTAGCCTTCGAATTATAGTGGAGCAAGCAGCAGAATTCAACTCACCACTGTATTTGACTTTCGTGGACTTCGAAAGAGCATTTGACACCGTGACTTGGCCGGCTATATGGAAAACACTAGAAAAATTTGGAATACCAGCCCAAATAACAAGACTAATAAAAGAATATGTATACAAAAAAATATGTATATAACAAGGCTCAATAAATTTAAAAAATAATTAATATAAAATAGGGCTACGAGCCAAATATTAGTTAAAATATAAAGTTCTTAGTAATAAACAGTCATTAATTAAAAATAAATATAAAATTTAATAAAATTCAAAAACAAACGTTTCGACCTAAATTAGGTCATTCTCAATGTTAAGAACCAACTATCGTTAACGATGTACAATGATATTATAAAAATTAAAACGAATACATAATCAAATACGAAAAAAAACATGTATAAATATTCTGTAATATGAGTATTTTCAATCTCACTCGCTATTGAAGACATAATTATATCGGCGCAAAATGTCGAGAGTTCATCAACAAAGCAAGACATCAAATAATGTAAATTGTGACTCCACATTTCTAAATAAAATAGTAAAAAAACAATGTCAGTAATAGATAAAAATAATAATAAAAAAAAAAAGAAATATAAAGAAAAGAATATAATATAAGAGTCAATTAATCAAATAGTAATAAAAACAATATCAGTAATAGATAAAAATAAAAAAAATTAAAAAAAAAAGAAATATAACGAAAAGAATGCAATATAAAAGAAAAGAATATAATATAAGAATCAGTTAATCAAATAGTAATAAAAACAATGTCAGTAATAGATAAAAATAATAAAAAAAAAGAAATATAACGAAAAGAATACAATATAAGAGTAAATCAATCAGCAAAAAAGTCAATTCACAAGGCAATAAGGTAAATGTCCCAGTTTGTGACCTTATAAGAAAATCGCATGAGTTAATACGGATGAAAAATACTCTAGAGTGATTAAAATCAGGAATCAATTATACCGAACTCAAGATTAATCATTTTTGTATCGAAAAACATGCTTTACTGGGGTTGTAAACATAATCTAATAAATATAAAAAAATAAATAGCAAACTATGTAAATGTAGACATTAGTGACCGCTTGATTTTAATTTTGCCCTATTTGTGACTCCACGGTTAGTGACTGGTGCATTGGATCGAATGTATCACCATGTATCACTTAGTGACCGACGCACATGATGCAATACACACGATGTCCATTGTAAGTGACCTAGTCAAAAGTGATAGCATTGTCACCAAAATTTTCCTTCGAGCATACATCGAATATTTCCGTTTATTCGTCCAAAATGTAACTCATACGTGTTTAGAAACATATGGAGATGAGTATTAATTGTTATCTTTTTGAAAAAAGCAACGAAATTTAATGTTATAGCTAGTTCTCTTGAGACAATCACAGATAGAAACATGCGTGTTTTATTGAACCGATTTGTCATATTCACTTATATACTCAAAATTACCAACCTTCTTCAGAATTCACACATAGCACAATATTTATTCACTTGTTCACTAAAACTTTATCACAAAAACTGTTTATGAACGTTTGTCTACGACAATATGACACAGCTATGACTTTGCCGCGACAAACGCCATGTCTACCAACGTGGCGACAACAACGTGCTCGATCTGCACTTAATGACGATACGGGCACCTTATTTCACATTTTCATGAGTTATCTGTTTACCAAATATCACTACATCACATATCAAAACGATGGATTATTAATTGAAAAACGTAATAAATATTGTTTTCAGAGATAAATTACTTGAAATTTCTGATTAATTACATATAAGTCTTAAAGTGGTCACAAACAGGGTCATGGTCGCAAACTGGGACATTTACCTTAAATTGAAATGAATATAATGAAAAACTACAACGAAAGTCACTTATATATAAAGTTACTAATAAAAGAATTATATGATAACGCGGAATGTGGTGTTCTCTTCAAAGGAAAACTGAGTCCCTCCTTCCAAATCAGAAGAGGTGTACGCCAAGGTTGCATTCTATCACCGATGCTATTCTTAGTGGTACTGGAAACCGGTGATGGAAAAGTGCAATCAAGAAACAACAAGCGGAATACAGTGGCTGCTGACTCGCCGACTTGACGATCTCGACTATGCGGACGACATCGTGTTACTATCTCATACACACAAAGATGCACAGGGGAGAATTTCAGCACTTCAAAGATACGCTGCAGAAGTTGGACTAAAGATCAACACCAACAAAACAAAAATAATGCGTATTGGAACAAACATAAGCACACCTATTTCCATTGAAGGACGCACAATCGAAGAAGTCAACGACTTTGTATATCTTGGATGCGTAATTGCCAAAGACGGAGGAACCAACATCGATGTTAGCAAAAGAATAAACAAGGCCCGACAAGCCTTCTTCAGATTTAATAAGATATGGAGAAGCTCAAAAATGTATAACATACATAAGCTTCGTTTATTCAATGCCTGCATCAAATCTGTGCTACTATACGGCTGCGAGACCTGGAAAAACACAGATGGACTGATAAATAAACTTCAGGTCTTCGTGAACAAATGTCTGCGACGAATTCTGAGACTGTTCTGGCCAAACTCGCCAACTAATGAAGAAGTATACTGCGCGTCTCCAAGTAAGAAAAAATAGGCACTGAAATCCGCCGCAGAAAATGGAAATCGTTTGGCCATATTCTGAGAAAAGATCCGCATAACATAGCTCGCATGGCCATGGAATATAATCCGCAAGGAAAGCGCAAAAGAAGGAGGCCTGCCATGTCTTGGAAGAGAACAATAGATAATGAAATCAAATCTATTGGAAAATGCTGGGCAGAAATAAAAACGATTGCCCAAAATAGAGTAAGATGGAGGAGACTCGTAGACGTCCTATGCTCTACATAAAGGAGATAAAAGGAGTGATGATGATGATTATAAATAAGAAAATAAATAATTCTTTATAAAAAGTTACATTTTTCTGAAAAATTATTAATCTATGCTAAAGTCGTCCTGTTTTATCAGGATTCCATTTGAAAAGAAATATCCGAATTGGCTTTACGGATTGCAAAATCCTTTCACAGAGTAAAAGTACGCACGTTAAACTATACTGGAAAACCTAATTTCACTAGAAAATCGGAAAAAAATTAAAAAATTTACTTATTCTGACACGTACAGCTGCCACTTGAGGTTAACATCCACTTAATATAAAAGTTTTAGAGATCGCAGATTGCAAATAAGTGTTTTGCAGTATTGGGATGACTTGTACGAACAATCCTGAGTTTGCAGATCCAAGATTAAATGCGTAGAAAAAAATATTTCTTTTCAAATCGAAATTACGATCTATGCGAGGATTCGGAACGTCAACAGAGTTTGACAGAGCAGAAATTGCTTTTAGAAGTAGTTGCGCCGTCTTGAATAGATGGCGTTGTAGAGCATCGGTAAAAACACGTATTGAACGTGACCCTACTTTGCCAGAAAAAGTAAATTTTTTAGTTTTTTCCCGAATTTCTCGCGAAATCACAGTTTGCAGTATACCTTTTTGTGCGTACTTTTATTCTGTAAAAGGATTTTGCAATTCGTAAAGCCAATTCGGATATTTATCTTCAAATAGAATAGCGATAGAACAGGACCAGGATTGAACTCGAATACGAGAGAGAGAGAGAGGGGGGGAGGGAGGGAGGGAGGGAGGG